CTGGCCATTTCATCCCGTGAAAAGATCCCGCACAATATGGGGGCGTTATAAAGGAATGAAAGCGAGCAATGCCGCTGCTGATGAAAGCGTGTTTGTTGCCTGGGCCGGCTGCACTACTTTACGCAAATTTTGATTGAAAAGGTGCCCGTTGGTGGTTTGCGGAGGCGTTTTCAATGTCAGACACGTGACTGCGATTCTCTTCAACGAATTGCACGGAGTATGTGTTTTACAATACCCACTGTTGACTTGAAATCAATCAATCAAATCAATGACTTGAAATCAAATCTAAATTATCTTCCCCGTCAGCATATTTGAAAACAAATTCACCGATTGTGTGTGACAAGTTTACATGATAACGTCTTTCTTAATGTTTGATAAGTTGAGCAACAGGAACATCAAGTCTTCGTAAGACTCGCGACGTTACTGAATAAGGTACTAGCGCTTTGTGGCTTGACGTGACGGGCTGAGCTGTCAGGTTCGAGCTTCTAACCCCGGTTACGCGAAGTGCCTGTCAAACTGACGTGCCTGCTCGCCACCGCTGAGGACGTTTTCACACCTCGCTTACGAGGCTCACGTTATTGGCAGCGATGGAGGTCGAGCTCTCCAGCTTTTGGATGCGTTGTCAAATTTCCCCACCATCCCGGACGCAAACATTTCAAACACCAGCTGACGCAGAAGTATGTGATGGCTTCCGCTGCGTCACCACGCTTGAAAACAAGGCCCATTGACGAAAAGGCTCAGTCAGCTCGACCTCCGTAGGACGACCCTCTGGTGCGACCCTCGCGGTGACCAGGCTGCTTCAAACGCGAGCTGCAAACGAGCCCCTCGAACAGCCTCTCGCCTTATTCATGACCTGGTGCAGTGCCGCGCCCGCCACTACCTCTTCTGCGCAGCATTCGCCTACCTGCTTAGACCTGCGCAACGTCTGCCTTTCTTCACAGCATCCCGCCAGTCGTTCAGATGGTCTAGAACAGGGGCACGTGGCCTCAGGCGGGGACCGGTTGACCGTCAGTATTCACCTGGGCTGGACTTGGGGCCGGTTTTAATGTCGCTCACTCAAGGTGAGCGGGCCATGGTCGGGTTTCGGGGACCACTATGCCGGTAAGGAAAGGGAAAGCAGATGACGGATAGTGATAGAGCGAGAGAGAAAGAGGGAGAGAGAGGGAGAGAACGGGAGAGAGAGAGGGAGAGAGAGAGAGAAAGAGGGAGGGAGAGAGAAAGAGGGGGGAGAGAGAGAGGGGGAGAGAGAGTGAGAGAGAGAGAGAGAGAGAGAGAGGGAGAGAGAGGGAGAGCGGGGAAGTTAAAAATGTATGGAAATGTAGGGCGAAAGAATGTCACCCGCCGGCACAACTGGCGTGAGCCTCGTTTTCTCCGCTTATCTAACCGGTATGCACTGGGCAGCCAACTATCCGAGACCACTGACCGTCTGCAAACGTGATCGGGCACTGGCGCCATGTGGCGGTCATGGACCAGCCAGCCGAGGATCCCCGGTCGCCGGAGAGCGTGGCGCAACAGCAGCAATCGTCACCCAGTGACCTCGGCTGGCCGGCCTGTTCGCCATCTGCACTGTAGAAAGTGGCGGCGCTGCCGACTCGGAGAATCAGCAATCAGAGACGTGCCACCCGGTGACGTCAGTGAGAAAACTGCTGTCAGCGAACTCAGAGAGCTGTGCTTGAAGTTATTTTACGTCCCGGTTATTTTGCGTCTCACTGACGATTCCCTGTTCCAAATTCGCGGTTAGAATTTGCGATGTCATGAATGCACTGACTTCTCACTGTTAGCACAACTGCGCTCGCCATCGTGATTCTAAAAAAAAATGCTAGAGCGGGAAGAGAGCTCTGATTCCAAAGGTAAAGAAAAACAGCTGCTCATCGTCAACAAATGCCGAGGAGCCGAAACATTGCCACTAGTATGCTTGGTCTCTGGGCGTGACGCTACAGAAGTACGTTGCGACGGTGTAAGACCACTCGGGTACCGCAGCGGCGTAATACTGAACGCCATCAGACGAAAGAGCACGTGGCTCTGCTCACCTCCCATCTTATCCCTGTCAGGGCGAAATTTACAAAAATAATTACAGCATTAAGAGAAGATTCCTAGCAAAACGAATGCTAGAAGTGAAACCGGATCAGCGAATAATATACACATGTTAATCGCTTAAAACAATATTTTCATCTGGCCTACCTCCTTTAAGCTCATTTGCCGCTGAGTGTGGGTTAATCTCTGCAGTACAAATGACTGTCTCAATATGCAATATGTATGTTGCATATTGAGTATACGTTACATATATGTATACGTTCACACACACACACACACACACACACACACACACACACACACACACACACACACACACACACACACACACACACACACACACACACACACACACACCACACACACACACACACACACACACACACACACACACACACACACACACACATACACACACACACACACACACACACACACACACACACACACCACACACACACACACACACACACACACACACACACACACACCACACACACACACACACACACACACACACACACACACACACACACACACACACACACACACACACACACACATATATATATATATATATATATATATATATATATATATATATATGTACATCGTGTGCTAAGGTGCAATAGTGTTTAATACATTGGTTGACCTACGCATTCGAAATCGTGTTTGGTGCAGCGATAGGTAAATTGAAAGGTTGGTGGGCCAAGATAAAACGTGATTTGTTACATGTGTGGAATATAACTCTTAGCGTTCCAGTCCGTGCAGTCACATGTCATTACAATTCCTGTAGCGTAACGCCCGATTTTTTCCTTTGGAGTAAAAAATCGCATATACATATATATATATATATATATATATATATATATATATATATATATATATATATGCATGACATTTAGGCGTATCATAAGCATTCCATAAATTTCCAAAAGTTGTGCATTGGCATGGCCCGGTCCTCTCTTCGCCGTCCGTGGGCAGGCAGGCCCCTGGGCACGTAAGTCGTTCCTAGAAAACAGCCCTACCGTGCGACTGCGACTGCCTCGCGCGCGGCGCAGGACAGACCGCGCCTCGGCGTCTGATCCGGACGCCATTGGCCGCCAATAGTGGCTTTAACGGCACACTGGTGGGTCCGGTCGGCTCTAAAACGCACCGCGTGAGTTTCGCAACGTGATTTGCTGCCTCCCTCCCCCCTCGCGCCTCTCTCAGACCAGCATAGGTAGGGCGGTTCGACTCAGACCAGCACGGGTAGGGCGGTTCGAGCACACGCATGATGCCAGGGACGCTAAAGTGGCGTCAACATTCAGCGCTGTAGGCGGTACACGATTTGACCACTGCTGTCGGTATTCTATGCTGAAGAATACCGCTCCCGCGAAGCTATTTAGGAGAAATCAGCCTGAGTCATGTTTCTGGGTAATGTAGATTTGTGAGCGCGATTACGCCGTGAGTTGCGTGAAGCGGGGCTTTTAGGCCAATGTCTTAAATGTGTAGAGTTCAGGCGTCGGGCCATTATGGGCAGGTGACCGACGTTTCAAGGCTTGCGTATAGTGAATGTGACTGTAACGGCCGGCCTTCCGCTGAAAGTTGGGCCTATCAATGTGGGGCCGAGATGTCTCAGCTGGAATTGTGGACAGGACAAGAATGCAGCTCAAATGGGAAACGCAGGGAAGCGAAACTTTGTTCTATCAAAAACCTGAAAACTTATTCTCGCCTAATAGAATGAAAATAGACCAGCAAGGAGTAGTTAGTTCTACAATCACCGAACCACAGACAAGTTTGATAACGAACCACGGCTGACGAATCACCGACATGAAACACAAACAATTATTTGCCACGCCGCCAGTGTAGCTCTACCCACTGCATTTATAACCAGCTTGTTTGCACGGTTCTTCCCGTGGCGAGACCGGTATACCTGCTCAAGCCGCCGGTACTCAGCACGTCGCCAGCACCGGCAGACCGGCGCGCTGCCGGCGAAAGGTCACCGGTCACCTCTGCGCAGCCCCCACTGCGCAGATCGGCCCGGCGGCGCGCCGCCCCGCCGCCCGGCTGCATTCCTCCCGCAGGCATGCCTCCCACATTCCAAGACGTTTTGCTGACATCTCGCTCAGGATGAGGCGCTGGAGGGTCTGCTGTTTTGCGAGATTCGAACGCCTCTGATGGAAGTGGTTCCTAATTCCGGTCGAGATCCCGCAATTCACACTTACCGTTCCTCACACTCAGGGCACTTTGGTTTTAAATGACGGACCGCGCAATCCCTCATTTAGATCCACCGGCGTTGGTCACTTTGACATTGCTTTTGTTCCATTAGCCATCTCAACAAAATAAGTATAGACCTGAGCATGCCTGATTTAATCGGCAGCGGTCGCCTGTCAACAGCAGCTGTCTTTTCGGCACGACGCCTGTCGCTGCTGAAGCATGAAACGAAAACGTAATGCAAAATATCATGCGAGGAAGGCCTCTGGCTAATGAGCTCAAACTGTCACATTGAAAGCAAATGTATTCCAGGTAAACCTTGATTTATTTTACACCGGCTTATTGCAAGTGCCATACAAGGCCTGCACTAGCTGGCGCTACTCCGGGAGCAGTATCGATGAGTGGTCTGTCCAAGGTGTCCTGTCGCTGTTTGAGGAGCGGTGTTTCCTGGAGGGAATCTGTTCTGACTGGCATTGTTTCGGTAGCGGTGTTTCCTGGAGGGAATCTGTTCTGACTGGCGCTGTTTCAGGAGCGGTGTTTCCTGGAGGGAATCTGTTCTGACTGGCACTGTTTCAGGAGCGTTGTTTCCTGGAGGGAACCTGTTCTGACTAGCGCTGTTTCAGGAGTGGTATTTCCTGGAGGGAATCTGTTCTGACTGGCGCTGTTTCGGGAGCGGTGTTTCCTGGAGGGAATCTGTTCTGACTGGCGCTGTTTCAGGAGTGGTATTTCCTGGAGGGAATCTGTTCTGACTGGCGCTGATGCCGTTCCAGGATCAGTCGTCTCCGGGAAAGAGCCCCGCGAAGCCAGCGAAGAAAAGGCCTGTCATTCCCATCCCTCCAGTCGCGCCCAAGATAGAAATCACTCCCGACAAATCACCGAACGGAGACGCCGAGAAGCAGGATGACGTCAAAGATGACTCGCAGTCTGATCAGGCGGCCGAGGTCGCCGCAGAAGCGCCGGAGCCAGTCCCAGACACTGCAGTCAAGAGCGAGCAGGCCACAGACAGCGCAGAGATGTCGGACCAAGCGTCCGACACGCCATCCGATGTCGCCGAGCCTTCGGCAGCGGCCTCCGAACAGTCGCCGGAGGAGTCAGAGCCTGCTCCAGGGGTCCCCGATTCCGCACCAGAGGTCCCCAAACCGGCGGCGGACGTCACTGACGGCCGTTCAGAGCCAGAGGTCACCGTGGAGGTGAACTGCGAAGCCGAAGTGCAGGTGGGTGGAACGGAGGGTGGGCGCTCGGCCCTATGAGCAGCACGGAGCGCATGTCGGGTAGCTTAAAAGCATGTGGCTACAATTTTTGAAATCACCAAATTGTGCAGTTATGAATAAGCGTCATGTCACTTTTCATCGATAACGCGGGGCGCCTGTCGTGGTCATCAAGTGCACTGCTGCAACAATGTAAAACGCTTGTCAGTTGTGTGATTGCAAACCCGTGGATTGTGCAAATGTGTGCCAGCCGACCGGTATGGCATTTAGTAACTAGTCAGCGCTCATAAGCGAAGCCTGGTTCTTGGACCGCGAGCGGGCATGTCGCAATTTCTGAAGATTTCAGACGGTGTGGGTAACTGCGTGCTTCGTTATATATTGTTAACAAGCATGGGAGAGCGGGTTGCCGTGACGTTATCGAGCAAACATACACAACACCGCGGCAAGCCCCCCTAAGACACGGCATGTGTGTCTTTGCCTTGTGTCTGAGCGTTTGAAGACAGCGCCCGGGTGCAGTATGTGACCCAATGAGTGTAGTCTGTGGCTGGATGGCTGCTGTGCCGGAGACAGATGGGTGCTGTGCCGGAGACAGATGGGTGCTGTGTCGGAGACAGACGGATGCTGTGTCGGAGACAGATGGGTGGTGTGCTGGAGACAGACGGGTGTGTGCCGGAGACAGATGGGTGCTGTGCCGGAGACAAATGGGTAATGTGCCGGAGACAGATTGGTGCTGTGCCGGAGACAGACGAGTGCTGTGCCGGAGACAGAGGGGTGCTGTGCCGGAGACGGATGGGTGCTGTACTTGAGACAGGTGGGCGCTGTACTGGGGACAGATAGGTAGTGTGCTGAAGACGGATGGGTGCTGTACTGGAGGCAGATGAATGCTGTACTGGAGACAGATGGGTGGTGTGCCGGAGACGGATGGGTGCTGTACTGCAGGCAGATGAGTGCTGTGCTGGAGACAGTGCACATTGTCGGAAACATCACGGCCTGTGACACATCCTCTCGACATTTCAGGACGAGAAAGCTGATCCAGACCAGACCCTGGTGTCGACCGCATCAACAGCCGTGCCCGAGAGTACGACGCAAATGAAAGAAGAACCGGAAAAGGAAGTGGACTCCCAGCAGCCAGCGGAGGTGGCCAAAGAAAAACCCTCCGCTGCCGAGGCAGAAGAGACACCGGAACCCACCAAGCCGCTAAAATCGGAGGAAGTGTTTGAAGCTGACAAGCCAGCTCCGGAGGCAGATCTAAAAGAAGCGCAGGAGACCGCCGCCGAAACGGTCGAGTCGGTCAGTCCGCCAGAGCCGCCGCCGGCCGCCGACCAGCTCGTGGTGGCCCCGAGCGCCTCGACCGAAGACGAGGCGACCAGCGAGCCCGTGTCGTCGGAGTCTGTGCCGCCCAGTGCCAAGACGCCGGAGCCGGCCGAGGCGGAGCCGGAACAGGCTCCCGAGCCTGCGAGGTCCGAGCCGGAGCCGGCGCCAGCGGACGTGAAGGTGGAGCCGCGGGAGCCGACGGAATCAGACGCACCCGCGCCGCCCGAGGCGCCAGAGCCGGCCAAGAGCGTGGCAGAGAAGCCATCTGAGCCAGAGATCGCAGAGGTCACGCCTGAACCCATCGCACCGACGCTGGAGGTGAACAATGTGACTCAGGAGCCAGAGAAGCAGGTGAGCTCACTATGTAGGCTAGTCCTTTTATGTCAGCCTCCCATAAGCAATGAAACTGAGATAGCGGCGATGGACATATTAAGAGAGCTGATTAATTTGAGTGACATTAACGTTCGGAATTAAATGTATTTTATTGTGGTCAGTCTGACAACGCCCACATCTGCTCAAACTGTAATAATATGACTGTGGAGTGGTGCACTCATACACTTAACAAAAAACAACAGGTGCCACGCGTGATTGTCATGCGCATTTCTGCAGCGTGAGGTAACTTACGCTCCGCGCGATTTGTCGCCAGCAAGCAAAATCAGTCACTCACTTTGAGTTGCCGCTATATCTGAAAGCATTGTGATACCCCACATGCTTTGCTTATGGCGCATGGTGTGATACTTCTTGTCTCTCCACGTCTAAGTAAACTTACGTGGTGTTCCCTCAGATGGAGACAGAGCAGCCAAAGGAGATGGCGGCACCGGAGCCCGCCACCGAGGACGCGCACGAGCTTGCTGAGCCCGAATCCGTCGCCGCTGAGGCAGCCCCCAGTCCTCCCGAGGCGGCCTCCGGTCCTCCCGAGGTGATTTGTAGTCCTTCTGAGGCGGTGTCCATTCCTCCCGAGCCGGTTTCCAGCCCTCCCGAGCCGGTCTCCAGTGAGCCAGAGCCGGTGCCGGCCGCGGCCGCGCCCGCGGTGGCTGCGCCCGTCACTTCCTCCCCACCTGCCGACAAAGCTTCCGTCGAGTCAGCCAGCCCCGTCCCACCGGCCGTCGAGACACATGAGTCGGCCGACGTCGAGGCGACGGCCGACTCGCCCAGCACGCCAGTGCAAGTGGCGGAGACGACCCCCGCCGCTTCCAAGCCTGGGAGGTTGCGCTCGCCGACGCCGCCGCCGCCGCCGCCGCCGCCGTCCCTACCGCCGCCCCTGCCGCCGCCCCTGCCGCTGCCGCCCCTGCTGCCGCCCCTGCCGCTGCCGCCCCTGCTGCCGCTCCTGTCGCCGCCCCTACCGCCCTGTCCTCGACCCTGCCGCGCCGTCGAAGGGCGGGCACCCTGGAGGACGAATCGTGGAAGAACCTGACTGTGGCCGAGATGCGCGAGCGGCTGAAAGCCAAGAAGCGCCACGACCCCCGAGACGACCACCTCTCTTTCAAGCGCCGCCACGAGATCGTGTCCAACATGTAGACGTGGGGAACTGGCGCAACTTACGCCCATGTGCGCGTGAAACAAGCGGCGAGAGGGCGGCTGAACTGATTCGAGTCGTCAGTGTTCGAAAGTGTTTCTTCGACAGTCTCCTGTTGCCTTCATTTAGGTAATGTTTCCGGAGAAAAGTTACGACTAAAAGCCACCAGAAAAGCCACCAGCCTGGTAGTGCTATGGATGTCAGCGGTGTAATGGGGCACGCACGGCGCTGAAGCCGGAGACGACTGAACAAAGCGGCATGGATGTCAGCCGAGAGTTTGAGAGCGGTGCTCAGGCAATACGCACGTTGCCGATGCATTGACCCCAGTAGGTTGCTGGCGGCTGGAATGCAGTGTCACGTGGCACACAACTTCTGCTGGAGAGTTCCTCTCGGCGTGGTCAGTGCTGTGATCCTGTCGGCCGAGTGTTCGGGCTGAGATGCAGCCCTCCGCTGCAGGGTCCTGGTGTGCCAAGCCCACATACAGCAGCGCCGGACGTCTGCCGGGCACGGCTATCGCGACGCGTTTATTTGCGGCAGCCGTCACGAGGCCATCGTATCATGCAAATAACAAGTTGTTGGGCGACCTTTAGCGCAGCGCTGCGGCAAAAATAACGATGTGGTTACTTGGTGTAGTTGCACGTGCATTTACTCACACTTCCGCATAAATACATTCAAATATGTTGCCGTCGTCTTCTGAAAGCCTGAGGATGTGACAACTTCCAGACGGCACAGACATTTCTTTTTTACCCACGTGACTCGGAGTGGTTGGCGACCTTTAAAAGCTCATGAAACATGCTTTCAGCTTTTACACGTCTGCGAGATAGAACAAAACACACGTAAGATAACGCCCGCGTATAAGTTAATTAGCATTACTGCAAGGAGCTAATGCATATATTTGCATGCAGTGCGACCATGGAAACGGGGCTCCAGACATGAGCTTAGATGCCAAGCATGCAGAATGCAAATGCCGTGAGTGGAACTTGTGAAAGTTCGTTGCCTGCACGGACGGCGTCTTAACTTATTGTTGTTCGAGGGGCTATCATGATTCATATACGGTCGTTGTCCGTCGGTGATGCTGCAAACAAAACAGGTGAACGTCCGACAGCCTGGACAGAAAGTTAAGAAAGTTAACAATCCGACACTACCTTTCTTGTGATGTGCATGAACTTAGACGTCACAAGGGCCAGTGAAGGAAAATAGCTCAGTGTATCATCGGTATGTTACGTTAAAGGTAGCTGTAGACCGCATAAATTGCCAACTGCGCGGCTGCTGCTTGTTCACGGCAAATCCAACGCGTCACCAGTCCTAGGAACAGGTGCTAAGGCAAAAAGCGTCAAAGACATGAAACAAAACCAAGGATGAGCACTCGGGCGTTACGATTGACGAATCAGTCAGACAGCGTAATCCACCAAACTACGCAGTTATCGTAACTGCGTGTAACCTCCCGAACCCATTTGCATGCACCCCAATTGCTCGACAGATACGAGAGGGTGACGTCCCGCTGTTCGCGTCTGGGGATAGCTTTCGTTTTCGGCAGCGACATGCCGTGAAGGTCCTGCCGCGCCCGCATCGACCAGAAGAGTGGTGAGAGCACACCGTCTGCCGCCCGAGACCGTATTCGTGCGGAGGGCAGCGCCTCATAACCATCCAAGTACCGCTCTGGCTGTTTATGCCCGTCGCCCTGGGTGGAACGGATCGGTTACTGACTGCCCCGGTCACCGCGGAACTTCAACGTCGCACTTGTGGCGAGCTGGGGACTGGTACACCGAATTGAACGGCAGCTGAGATGTCTGGGCGCTGGGAGGAGGGCCGCTATTTAGCTGGGAGGAGGCCCGCTAGTCTGGCGTCGCGCTGCTGGCGCAGCGCCCTGTCGGACGCTCTGCCATAACCACTTTGACCCTGCGAACCATCATCAAATCTCATCATGCAAGCATCAACTGGGGTAATTAACCTTGACCCTCACATTTCGAAGAGGCCACCATTGCAATGACGTCAATGACGATGAATTGTCATGATATAGTTGAAAGCAAGTATTTGGGTAGTTTTTAACGCGATGATGTCCACCATTACACAACACTAGCGTACACAAGCCGGGCGTCAGCAGGTGTAAGTATTCACAAAGCACTTCCACAAAACGAAGGAAATGCAACAGTTTGCAGGCCTTTGCATGTCATAAAAGTCGGTGTCAGCCAAGGGTTTACATTCATGCAAAAGTTGTTTTTCTGTCTTCCCATGCGGCGCCGTGTGGCTCATGCCAAACTTTCAAATAAGTTAAAGGGTCATAGATCCTCTGCAAGGGAATCCTCTGCATTCAATTCACCCAATAGTTGTGTTATTGGTTATGTCCTTCTTTATGAACATCTTTTAAACAAGGAGACGGGGACAGTGGTGGCGGAAGAAGGCAGAGTGGGTGGCCACCTCCAAACTTGGGAAACACGTAATGATTCACCGCATGCTGTCATGTTAGAGGAGTAAGACCAAGCTGTTCTGTCACCCAAACCCTTCAAAAGATCTGTTGTTATTGCCAAAAGGGTTTTGCCGATTTACAGTCACACAACACGCACTAACTCAACTGCGTTAGGGTGAAAAGTGACTGGCGCTACTTCCAAGTATATCCGAAGGGCTCCAGTGACGCCAGGGCGGACTCTCCGATAGGACAGAGATGGACAGAGCTCAAAAAGCGAGCTTGTATCAAAGCCATGTAAGCCAAATGCGCATACACCGTAGCTTGTAAATTTGCAAACATTTTTGTGAGCGGTGTTGTAGATTTAAAGCCGTAATGATTAGCTGAGTATTTCTTCAAATTTATAGTGGATGAACTTTGAAGCACAGGGAACAAATCTAAATGATAGAAAAAACATGTTTCATACAAACGTCGCATCAGTGCCCATCAGCAGCACTGATGTTGAGCCAGAAATTAAAGTGAGGCTAGCGGATGGAACTCGCAACTCGAAGTTTAAAAAAAATAGCGAAAACTAAACTACGCGGGAAAAGCAAACAAGAACGGCATTATGAGTTTTCCGAATTCTTATGCCGAGTTATCGATCCTCATTAGACCAGGAATTATTGATTTAACGATGTTACAGTGCAACAATAGTTATATTAACACGCCGTCTGTGGGCGGTCAAATTTCCCCCCCCCTCGAGGTTTTCCAGAATAATTTCCGAGCGGCGCAGCACATCCGCGCCAAACTTTGCACAGATGTAGATAAGTGAATAGTGGATCTATCGATGTAAAAATTGGATGTGGCTTGCAAGCTCACTGACCTACGGCAGATCAAAGTCAGATCATGACTATCAGCGAAGGACATTTCTAAGCAATCGTTCAAAATGTGACGCAACAATGGAAAAGTATACGGAGCCATGAACATTTCATATGGTTTCTTAGGCAGTACACTAATCGAATTTATACTTACAACCAATTTCATTGGCCAAGGGTCGCGTATTAAAGTCATGCCGAGATCAAAACTAACCCGCTGTTTTACTCGAGAGCATGGTTTTATGGAGTGGTTTCTGGTGCTCATTTCGAATTTATTAATGACAGGGATCGCAACAGACATGTCTCATTGACTTTAGAGGTTAGGGTAGGTATCTAACCTAAAATGACCCAGGTCAATATCTGTTTTCAGGAGCATACCACCTCGTGTAATTCCTGACGCTTATTCGAATGACAGAATAGGAACAAGCTCTTAACCATTTGGTCACTTTGACCATATAAAGGTCAAATAAGGTGACTGGCCTCATTGGCCTTTTGCTTAGAACAGTTTTTGCCATCATAAGTACGTTCGAGCCGGGATCTTCGTCCGAAATTATCCTAGACGCCGCTCGTGCACGTTGGCACGCTAGCTTAGCCTCGCGGCGGGATTATGACACGTGCTCCCGACGCACGCGGCCCTGGTGAGCGCTCAGTGTCCCACTCGACGCTTCTATGGCTGAACATCGGGGTTGAAATCGGCCGTAAGCTCCCACACACCGTCACGAATACACTTATACACGCCTGACAGGACAGGGTCTCTGGATGTCCACAATCGAATATTAAGGACACACGCCGGCGGAGTCCAAAAGCCTATTCCGATGAGCCGTCTACGCCGGCACGGATACGTTAATGGAGGCGGAATCCGCAGGAGAGGGCCTGCTAAGAGCGTCGCAGGACACCGCGTTGCAGCCAGGGCGGTACTCATAAGCACCGAGCAACAGGACCCACCGAACCATCCTTGATAAAGCCATCGCTGACAATTATTTCTGGCTCACATTAAGTCGCGCGCAATGGCCCAGGGCCAGATTTAATGGTGAGAGAATGACTCACAGTGGTGTAAGCTGAGGGAACATGGGGTACTTGCCCCCCCCCCCCCCCCACTAGATCCCAAGGGGCTCGAATGGCCCCTCGACTTACTGATGATTTGGGCCCCGATTTGAGGGCCCGCAGGGGCTGAAGGGCTGGCACCGGAGTTATCATTAAGCGGGCCGGTCTGCAGAGCCTGACCAATAACTGCCTGTCAGAGATGACCCTCTGCGTCGACCGAAGACCGCCTTACTCGATAGAGACCTCCATATCGGTCAAGCACCAACAGTAACGAACAGTTTAACAGTCGGACCGAAGATCAAGCGCTCGATTAAAGGGCTGAATGACCCACAGGGTCCGAAGGGCCGACTACAGGTCATATTAAGGTTCCCGTCTCATAGGGCCGTAATCATACATAGGGCCGTAACCTCAAATGCCAGTCAGAGGGCCTATTGCACCAACTGAGAACCCTTTGGGACAACGTGGTCCTGTACTTTGGCCAGAAACCTCCAACACCAAACAGTCGGCTCCGTGTCGCTCTGCGCCCTGGGGCCCATTTCCCAAGAAGGCGCAAGGCCTGAGCCCGTAATATGCATTGGTTGGGGTCCCGGAAATACCCATCGTGGTAATGGCTGGCAATCCAGAAAAAGCCAAAATCCAGATCGATGCCTCAAGTGTCCCCAGACCTCCTCATGCAAACGTCGTAAGCTGTCAGATGTAA